CCCGAAAGAGCCCGCCTGCACGTGGGAACGCGCCCAACTGACCCGCAGGGGGCCCTGCGCGCGGCAAGGAGGCGGCAGGAGGCTGCAAAATAGCAGGCGAGGCCCAGATTCGAATCCCGACGGATAGAGGGGCGTGGCTTTGGCTCCGTCGCAAACTCTCAGCCCGGGCGCTTAGCTCACAGGGCGAAGTCGGAGGATTGAAGCCGCTTTGACTCACAACGGTGGGGAGAGAAGGTGAAAAGGTAAAGGTCTCCCTTGCTCGAAAGCCAGTCGAGTCCGACTCTAGGGTTGCGGTGCTCATCTCCGTTTCCAAGCCGAAGAGCCAGCGCTGTCCGAAGACGTTGGCCGGCATGACTAAACACCAAGGCGCACGGAACGCTGTTACCTTCCCACCGAAGTGGTCCCTATTTATCTCCTTGCCATTTCTTGCTTTCGAACTGCTAGGTTGGCAGGAGCTGGAACTAGAGACGGGAGCTCACTCCCTCATGCCAAGGTATCCCAAGGCATTTGAGACTTTGTTCATGCTCCTCTGAGTCAATGGAGACCCTCCCCCATATTTTATTTTATTGCTCTTATGCAGAAGAAAGAGCCCTCTTAATTACACCTATATTAAGGTCACTTAGGGTCCAAGGACAACTAGCAATTCATTCTGAGGAACTTGTGCTGAAATATCTATTGGAGGACAAATCCATTGCAATATCAAGGAATGTTGCTAAATTTCTTTTTATTGCATTTGCAAAGCGCAAGCTCCTCCTTAATACTATTTATGATGTCTCCTCTCTGTAATGTTTTGGTAACCTGGGTTTGCTTTTTTGATCCTGTATGCTGTTTTTGTCTTTGACCGTAATAAATAAATAATAAATGATGATGATGATGATCAGCACACTCGGGTCTCGAACTGCTGAACTACCGACCTTCCACAGCCTGCAGTTCAGAAAGCGGGATATAAATAAATGCAAACGGAGAGGTTCTTTTTTTGTTTGTTTGGATTGCCTTGGCTGGGTGGAGGGAAGGCAGTGGAGGGCTCCACACCCCATCGCCAATGCTCCCTCTAAGCTGTGGCGTCTTGAGAGCACAAATTCTACTTTGTGAGCTACGGGCAAGCCATTTGGCTGCTGCATCAGTTAGAAGAAGAGGAGGAGATTGGATCCCCTGTGAGGTAGGTGGGACTGAGACAGTTTTTTCCAAGAACTGCCCTTTTCAAGAACAGCTCCGACAGAACTATTATTATTATTTTTTTCGCCATCGAAGATATAACAGGTCTCAATCTACCGGAAACACCCGAAGCATTATTACTTCATAAAACACTTGAATCTATTTTACAGTCTTCAAACAAACAGATAGTCCTGACTCTACTTGCCTTAGCAAAGATGGAAATCGGGCTAAGTGGAAGGATAGTAGGGATCTGGGACGGAATTGGAAAACTGGGACCAGCAGAAAGCATTTTGTTCCAAAGTTTATTGAATTATACATCATTTTTCAATGCTTACAGTTTTTTATTCATATTGTACTGGTTAATATGTTTAACTGTTCTTTAGTTCATTATGGACTTGGCTAATGTTATAAAAATGTGATTGTTATGTTTTCTTAATACTATTGTATCATACCAATAAAATGTTATTGGAAGAAAGTAAACACAGAACACTGCCGAGTCACATGACTGAGTGAGGGGGGGGCGGAACCCTCAGTGATCGGCATCTAATGGACCAAACAGTCAATTTGGAATTGGGAGTTGGAAAGAAGCCGTTCGTGAGTGGGACGGTTCGGGACGGTGAGCTAACGGACGGTCTGTCAGCGAACTGAAGGAGCCGGATCTCTGTAGCTCTGTGGAAACCGCCTGTTCACAGTTTGAGCAGAGAACTGTGGCCGAGGATCTGTTGCCCCGAGTCCCTCTAAAGTGAAAGAGGAGGGTGCACAGAGTGGGAACAGTCAAACACAAACACCCGATACATTCTTCCAGAAGGGACTGGAGGTGGTCAGGGCCGGCTCACTCACTAGGCAAACTAGGCGATCGCCTAGAGTGCGACGGCCCTTAGGGGGCACCAAACTGCACCCGGCCTGGTACTCTGGGAGTTTCTTGATTATTTGTGTTTTTATTCTTCCTAAAATGCATTTATTTTTGAAAATTGGTGGGCGCAGGGGGGGGGGACAGAAGGGATCCTCGCCTAGGGTGCAAAATAAGCTGGAGCCG